AAGATTACACATGAGGTCATATAGTATTTGTCTTTCTCTGACTTGTTTCACTTAGCATAATTCCCTCAAGGTCCATCCACATTGTTGCAAATGGCAGAATTTCATTTTCTATGGCTGAGTATTGCTGCATTGTATGTATACACCCATTTTCTTTATCCATCCATCCATCAGTGGACATTTACATTGTTTTCATGTATTGGCTGTCCTAAATAATGCTGCACTGAACATGGGGGTTCAGCTCTTCGGTGTAGTGATTTTGTTTCCCTCAGATATATAAAGTGGAACTGCTGGATCACTTAGTAGAACTGTTTTCAGTATTTTAAGGAACCTCCATACTGTTTTCAATAGTGGCTGCACCAATTTACATGCTCACCAACAGTGCAGAAGGGCTCCTTTTTCTCCACATCCTTACCAGTACTGGTTATTTATCTTTCTGATGACAACCATTCTAAACGGCTGAGGTGGTATCTCATTGTGGGTTTGACTTGCATTTCCCTAATAATTAGTGAACTTGAGCACTTTTTCGTGTATCTTGTTGACCATTTAAATATTTTCTTTGGAAAAATGTCTATCCAGGCCCTTTACTCATTTTTAATCACATTTTTTTTTTTTTTGGTATTGAGTTATGTGAGTTCCCTGTATATTTTGGATATTAACTCCTTATAAGATGTGTGGTTTCCAAATACTTTCTCCTACTTCATGTTGCCTTTTCTTTTTTTATTTTTATTTGTTGCCTTTTCGTTTTGTTGATTATTTCTTTAGCTGTGCACTTTTTAGCTTAGTGTAGTCCCACTAGTTTACTTATTTTGATGCTTGTACTCTAAGTCTCATATCCAAAAATTATTAAGGTACTTGTCAAGGAGCTCTTTCCCTGTTTTCTTCTAGGAGTTTTATGGTTTCAAGTCTTACTTGAAGTCTTTAATTCATTATGAGTGATGTAAGACAGGGATCTAGTTTCATTCTTTTGCATGTGGATATTCAATTTACCTAGAATCATATATCAAAGGGACTATCATTTCTCCACTGAGTATTCTTTACTCCCTTATCAAATACTAGTTAACTGTATATGCATAGATTTATTTCTGGGCTCCTGATTCTATTTCACTGGTCTATGTGCCTCTTTTTATTGCAAGTACCATACTATTTTGAGTACTATAGTATTATAGCTGTGTAATATAGTTTGAAATTAGTAAGTGTGATGCCTCCAGCTTTGTTCTTTGTTAGGATTGTTTGGGCTATTTAGGGTCCTCTGTGATTCCATATGAATTTTAGAACTCTTTTTTCTTTTCTAATAGTCATGAGCTACTTAACAAGTGGGGATACATTCTGAGAAGTGTGTTGTGAGGGAATTTTGTCATTGTGCACACATAATAGAGTACACTTATACAAACATAGGTGGTATAGCCAAGAGCTTGGACTAATCATAATTTCCTCAAGCACAAGTGAGAACACAGAATTCATTTTCCCTGAGCACACAGGGGTTGTGACTGATGCAGGTGAGCCAGGTTGTAAAGGTAAAGTCGCTTCAGCCACAAATACTCGCAGGGACAATCATTGGCCTGGGCAGGTTAGCAAGTGCAATGCAGCTCCTTAAAGCCTCACTGGTACCTAATACTTATGAGGAATTTAGCAGTGTATGTTGCAATAAAAGGAATTTATATTCACTTAAATGTATGTCAGAGTCTCCTTCAGTGTTGATATTCTCAGTGAGAAAAAGCATTCCCTGCACATTTAAGGCTTTTCTCCTTTGTTAACAGTCGGGTGTCTAAGGAAGCTAGGTTTTTGGCTAAAAAATTTCCCATATTCACTACAGTCATAAAACCTAACACCAGTGTGAATTCTCTGGTGCTGAGTGAGGTTATAGCTTTGACTGAAGGAATTCCCACAATCAGGACACTCATATGACTTTTCTCTAGTGCAGTGATGGCGAACCTTTTGAGCTCGGCGTGTCAGCATTTTGAAAAACCCTAACTTAACTCTGGTGCCGTGTCACATATAGAAATTTTTTGATATTTGCAACCATAGTAAAACAAAGACTTATATTTTTGATATTTACTTTATATATTTAAATGCCATTTAACAAAGAAAAATCAACCAAAAAAATGAGTTCACGTGTCACCTGACACGCGTGTCATAGGTTCGCCATCACTGCTCTAGTGTGAACTTTGTGGTGTTTACTGAAATTAGACTTTTCATTGAAGGACTTCCCAAAATCAGTACATTCATATGGCTTTTCACCAGTATGAACTCTGTGGTGTTGGATGAGGGTAGATCTAGGACTGAAGGACTTCCACAATCACTACACTCAATATATCTTTTCTCCAGTGTGAACTGTGGTGGTGAATAAGGGTAGAGCTTCGACTGAAGGACTTCCCACAATCAGGACACTCATACCGCTTTTCTCCAGTATGAACTCTGTATGTAGAATGAGGGTAAACTTTTGTCTAAAGGACTTTCCGCAATCACTCTACTCAGATGGCTTTTCTCCAGTGTGAACTCTGGTGTTTTATGAGAGCAGTGCTTTCACTGAAGAACTTCCCACAATCAGTACACTCATGGGGCTTTTCTCCAGTGTGAATTCTTCTATGTCGATAGAGGTTCACAACACGTCTAAAAACTTTCCTACATTTGTTACCCATATAATTCACTTCTCCAGAGCATATACCCTGACATTGAACAACTTTCTGCAGCTTTTTCATATTCATCCCACTGGTGATATGTTTTTCCACTGAGAAATTCCTGTGAAATCTCACTGCCACTGTGTGGCTCTCCAGTGTTAAGAGTGGTCTGGTGCTAGAGAAGCCATATGATGCCTGGGAAGACTTTCCCAACCTCCCTACTGATTGAAGGCACCCCAAGATAAGTAGAAGTTGCATCTGCTCACAAACGAGGCCCTGTCTGTAGCTTCTTTCCAAGGCTTCTCTCCACTGGCATCCCTCTGTTGCTAGTGAGGGTTTGCAATGAGATAGAAGTCTCTCAAACATGCATCACTAAAGAAGCTTTCCTGCTCAAATAATGCTGCTTGTGACTCCGTCAGGTGTAAAATATCTTTTAACACCGAGACACACCACTTACACACGAGTCTTCTGGGTTGCTGAAGCTGTCTTAGAAGGCCTGACCTATGACTCTCCTTATACATACGCACTCTCTCAGAAAAGGCCTCTGCATCATCTGTTTTATGCCAACAACCTACAGATGCTACAAGTGCAAAGACTTCCAGCATCACATTGCAGTACAGAAATTTCTGAGCCTCATCAGGGAGCCCCCACTCTTCCTCAGAGAAGGCAATGGCCACGTCCTCAAAGTTCCTATCTGTTCTGGACCCTGAGACCTGGGCTGCAGGACCTGAGAGCCGCCCACACCGGAAGCTGGAGGGTTAAATTGGGTGAAGCTGAGTTGAACTCTGTAAGCAGAAAGGAGTCTGGCAGGCACGGAAGCCCCAATCCTGCAGGTTGCAGCTCAACAAGCCTCAGACACACAGTGGGGACTCTGCCTCCTACTCATGATCCTCTGCCTATTTTTAATCTGATTTTTTTGGGGGGCGGTGTTAAGTTGTATGAGTTCCTTATATAGTTTGGAGATTAACCCCTTCTTGGATGTATCATTGGTGAATGACTTCTTCCATTCAGTAAGTTGTGTTTCCATTTTGTTGGTTTTCTTTGCTGTGCAAAAGCTTTTTAGTTTGATGTATTCCCATTGCTTATTTTTTTCTTTTGTCTAAGGCAGTGGTTCTCAACCTTCTGGCCCTTTAAATACAGTTCCTCATGTTGTGACTCAACCATAAAATTATTTTCGTTGCTACTTCATAACTGTAATGTTGCTACTGTTATGAATCGTAATGTAAATACCTGATATGCAGGATGGTCTTAGGCGACCCTGTGAAAGGGTCGTTCGACCGCCAAAGGGGTTGAGAACTGCTGGTCTAAGGGAATATTCAAAAATATTACTAAGGGTGATGTCAAAGAGTTTACTATCTGCTTTCTTCTATGATTTGGGATC